CACACACACGCGCGCACATACACACACACGCACACACGTACACACACACACGCACACACACACACTCACACACGCACCTCTCTCTCTCTCTCTCTCTCTCTCTCTCTCTCTCTCTCTCTCGCGCGCGCGCGCGCGCGCACGCTCCCGCACGCCCACACACACACAAACACACAGCACACACAAACGCGTACACAAACTCTCACACACACACACACACACACACACACACACTCAATCAATCCATCAATCAAGCCTTTTTTTTTTAATTTCTTTTAAAATTTTGCATTTTTATTTTTTTAAAACACCTCATTTCCCTGCAAAAAACAAAAATCCAATTCAAAAAAAAATACAGGTATACTCAGGGAACATATATCTCATGATAAAAAATGGCAAAAAAAAATTCCTGCTTTTCTTTATATATATATATATATTTTTTGTTTAAATCGATTTTCGTTTTTGATTTTTTAAAAATCTTAAACAAAGTCGGATTATCGTCACAAACAGAACTGCCCGGTAAACCGTTGGCAGAGAGAGAGAAGAGGACAACAAACGAGGGGCTGTGAATATATATATATGTGATGATATATGATATATATATTTGACGATATATATATTTTACGTATTTTTAGGGGGAGAAAAAAAATATTCAAAAACCGGGCCGCGGACTGGGCCTCATTGGCCGCGGCCGCGGCCGAGAATCTCGGCCGCATGCCACATAGGCTAGCGGTGTCTGCTCTTATCAGCACCAGAAGAAGAAGAAAAAAAGAAAAAGAAAAAGATTTCAAAATTCAAACCGAGATAACACCGCATAAGCACGAGCAAAGCATTGAACTCACATCACAATGAAAGCCCTCTTCTCTTCTCCAATCACCGATGTCAACAATGGAGCCTTTCTATGTCGGCGCTCAGCGCCCAAACTACTGACAGACAGCTCCTATGAACCTAGGCTCCTAGCTACAACAGATCTGCAATGGAGTCCTTCAGCCCAATGACGAGTGAAGACTCCGAGTGACCGACCCGCTGCTTCTTCACCAGATAAGTGCCTCGTCGCACCGCTCAGCCCCCGTCCTATCCAACCACTTCCTCATGCCCAAGGACCACTGGTATCCCCCACGCGGCTTCTGGGCGTGCTGCCCGGCTTTGGCTGTCACTGCAAGGAATATGAGTGTGAGCGATATACATAAAACCAAGTTGCGAAATCACACAGCTGAGCAAGTAGTAGTATCCCAAGTAGGGAGTACAAATGCACCGAGAAAACCATCCATAGAGAGCAATACAATGAAGTATTAAGCCAACGTCCAAGCCCGTAGGCCACACCAACACAGTATCCAGAGTCGCTCTCGCTACTGGCGCACAGCGCCCAGCCTACTCTACCATACTATCCTACGCTACAGCTGGTTCACACAACAGGATCACTTCGGCTCACGAAGACCAATGTACATGACTGTCCACACCGGCGACCTCTCTTCATGTACCAGGTACGTATCTCGTCACCCTCAATCAGACCTTGATTACCCCACACAGCGCCTCACTCCCTGAAGACCACCCAATCATCAGCTGTACCCCCTGGCGCCAAGCAGCCCGGCTATGGCCGCCTGTGCCCCGCTGCCCTGCAGCGCCCCACCTCACCTCTCGCGCCCCGTCAGCGCCCTTGGCAGCAGCGCAGCATCAAGCGAGAGCGCAGCAGCACTTCCGCATTGCCAGCGCTGGCCAGAATGCCTGGCCTGGGCTGCTTCACTTCCTTTATGGAAGTGGCAGCCTGCTGCATGCTGCGTGTGGCCTGGCTGGAAGCTTCCAGTAGCTTCCGGTTGGGCCTCAGACCCTGTGCCGAGGCCAAGACTTACAGTTGAGGGCCTGGGCTCTTTACAGTTGGGCGCGGCCTGAGTCTCCAGACTTGGGCTGTTAGCTGCATCTGCGCAGGGCCCCCGGGTAGGTGCGTCGGCTGTACTGCTTTTCCAAAGGCCGACTGCCTGCCTCTCAATGTATCGGCCCTGCTTTGTGTGTAGGTGCCCAGGCACAACTTTCGAGGCCTGGGCCAACTGAACGGCGCAGCTTAGTGAGGCTCGCGCGTTCACTCAACCAACTGACGCGCTGCAAGAGCCTGAATACCCACATATGGAAATGTCGAATTTGGTCTGTGATGAATATTGAGGCCCGCCTTCACTTAGGGCGGGCACTTGGCTTGCTGTGGCCTTGGCCCAGAACAATGTGATGTCTGATAGGGCCACTTGAGGGCTTGTTCCTCACATTCCATCCCCCTTAGCTTCGAAAGTCCGCTGAGATGCTTGATGCTGGTGCCTTCCCCTTCAGTCTTTTCTCATAATCGGCCACGATCTGTAGAGCTGTCCTGACAAGTTCCTCCCTTGAAATCCATCGATCTTCCTTCGGATCTGTATGATGCCTGAAATGTACTTTGTATTCCCTCGCAGGTTTCGGAGGTCTTCCCCTGCCAGGTGGCTTAGGAACAGGCGTATCTCTGTGATCCACGATATCGTTGACGTCCACGTGGCCGTCCATGGTTGGGGGCAGCATAGATCTCCGTGATGGGAACTGTGCTGTTTCAGCGAAAGGTGCAAGCTTTGAAACATGAAAAACAGGGTAAGTGCGTAAGTGACCAGGGATACGAATGACGTACGTGGGACCATCCAAATTATTCCCCACAATGTCCAAGACTTCCCAGGGACCGAAATACTGAGGCATTAGTTTTCCAGAGATACCAAACTCATGTCCCAGTTCACTAGCCTTGGCCCAGACACGTTCCCCTACCTGAAATGTGGACTGTCGGCGATGCTTGTTCTCAGAAGCAATCATGGCTTCTTGAGATTTCTTGATATGTTCGACAGTCTGCTGCAACAGTTTCTCATACTGGACACCAAATCCAATGGTTCCAGGGGTTGCAGCAGTTCAGTTTTCAGGCAGGAGGAAGTCTATAGCAGATCTAGGTTTCCACCCCAGATGTAGCTGATGGCACCGATGGTGTTGTGTACAACGTTGTTGTACAGACTGACGATGAGAGGTAATTTCTCATCCCAGTCATCCTGGTTGGGCTTGATGTAATGCCTCAGCAGATGCTGCACCACTCGGTTCATCTGTTCAGCCTGCCCATTTGCTTCGGGATGATTCCTAGAAGTCATATGAAGTTGGCTGCCCATCTGTTCAGCGGCCTTCTTCCACATCTCGCTTGTGAATCTCACATCTCTATCACTAACGATAGTCTTTGGAAGTCCAAAATCACGCATTCAGTTGTCCATGAACAACTTGATGACATGCTTAGTTCTGGCAGTCTCTGGCATGACGATTAGTCTAGCATACTTAGTGAACCTATCTACTATGACGAAGATGTGCCTTTTGCCATTCTTGCTGGTCACGAGAGTATCCATGAAGTTCAGCAAGAATGGGTAAAGGCTTGAGTAACCCAAGCGGAGCTTGAGTTCGCGGTTTGTCCCGCTGACAGACCTGACAGGTCTCCACGTACTTCTTCACATCGTCAAGCATGTTAGGCTACCAGAATCGCTGTACTAAATTAGCACTAGTCTTCTTATAGCCGAAGTGTCCCATTGCGTCGTGGCACTCTCCTAAAAATAAACTACGCAAAGTCTCTCTAGATGGTACAACTAACCTCTTGAACCCCGCCTTCTCAAGAAAGAACAACCCATCCACCATCACAAATTCATCAGTGGTGGCCTTATTTTTAGCCTATAGTTTGTTGATGATGTCCATCGTGATGGGATCTTCCTTGTAGGCTTCATCCAACGATGGAGTTACATCTTCAGATAGACCAAACCCAGAAATCAGCGCACCTAGGTAATCTGCCCTCCTAGACAATGCGTCTGCAACCTTGTTCTACTCCCCCTTTAAATAGTCTAGTTTGAAATCATATTGATCTATGACTTCAATCCAGCGTTTGAGTGCGTCGGAGAGAACTGGTTTAGTCTTGATCCACTTGAGTGTCTGATGGTCAGTTCTCAAGTAGAAGAACCTTCCTAACAGGTAGTGCCTCCAGTGAACAAGTGCCTTGTAAAGAGCGTAGAGTTCCCTCTTGTAGGTGGACTTTGCCAACTTCTTTGAAGGCATCTTTTTGCTCATGTACTCGATCGGTCTCAACTTCTTCCCTTCCTGCTGAGCCAGCACTGCGCCAATCCCATATTGGCTTGCGTCAGTGGTCACAACGAATGGCCTTTGCGGGTCGGGTACCATAAGAACTTCATGATGCGTGAGAGCATGCTTCAAACGCTTGAAAGCTGCCTCACACTCGTCGGTCCAGTCCCATGGTGTGTCGAGTCGAGTTAGATCAGTCAAGGGAGATGCGATTGTGCTGTAATTCTTTACAAAATTGCAGTAATAACCACACATTCCCAAGAATGAACTGACCTCAGTCACAGACTGGGGTCGTGGCCAGTCACGTATGCTGGCCACCTTTGCATCTTCCGGCCTAATTCCATCCGCGGATACCTCATGACCCACGTACAAGATTCGAGTGCGACCAAACTCGCATTTCTCAGAGTTTATCTTATACTTGTGTTGTCGAAGGAGTGAAAGTACTTTGTCTACATGTTGAGCATGCTCCTCAACAAATCTACTAAAGATAAGTATGTCGTTGAGGTACACGACAACAAACTTGTCTCAGTAGTCATGGAAGATCCTATTGATGGCGTGCTGGAATGTACCCGGCGCATTGCAAAGGCCAAAAGGCATCACCGCAAACTCGTACAGACCGTACCTGGTCTAAAATGCAGTTTCGTGCTGGTCCTCTGGTCTTATGGCAATCTGATCATAGCCGGATCTTAAGCCTATCTTTGTATAGTACTTACACCCCTGCACCCTATCCAATAGGTCGTCGATGCGTGGTAGAGGCTCTGCGTTCTTAACGGTGATGGCATTGAGGCCTCTATAATCAATGCACATCCTTAGTGTTCCCCCTTTCTTTGGAACAAACAATACTGGTGAGCCAAAGGGGGAAGTGCAGGTCGAATCCAACCCTTCTCTGTGAGCTCTTTCAGTTGTCGCCGAAGTTCATCCAACTCAGCTGGAGCCATCCTATAGATTCTACCCTTAGGTGTTTTACTTCCTGGGATAATCTCTATGGCATGGACAATCTCCCTGTTTACGACTCCTGAGGGCTCCTCGAACAGATCAAGGTACTTAGCGACGATGGTCTCTATCTTTGGGGGTGTTTTAACGGCCTCCCCTTTTGCAGAGACATAGACTAAGTACATTCCTTCCTGTTGGTCCTGTTTATAATAATTATAAAAGGCAGATGCACATAAGCACTCATAGGAGTCTACTAACCTACTGGCTTTGTACTTGGCCAGTCTCACGGTTCTCCCACTAGGGAACTCATGCTTCAACACCTTCTTGTCCCAGTCAAACTGGGGTTTGGCAACCTCGAGGTAGTACATGCCCAATAACATGTCAAAGGGCAACTCGTCGCTCACCAGGAATGATATCTTGTGGTTTATATCTCCTCCTGGGTAGGAGAAGGTGCAAACTACATCTTTAACGTAGTCCTCCACCATCATGCGCTCTTTGTTGGCCAAAGTAGATGCTACCGGTCTACTAAGGCGCTGCACCCGGTCCTTTAGGCACAATCTGTCAACGCAGTCGCGACTTATGAAGTTTCGTGTGGAGCCAATGTCTACGAAGGCGCCGCACTTGCTACCACCCACATCAACTTCCACAACGAAGTGCTCCCCTCTAGGACCTCTACTCAATGCCACCCAAGACTCACGAGGGTCCCTTGCAGACCACTCACCTTGAAGTTCCTCTAAGGCCTCAGACACATCCAGCGTACAGTGTATAGTTGGGTCCGGATGCGTCTGCGGGGTGACTAAGGAGTCAATAGCTTTGGCCATCTCTTGAAACGGGGAGGGTACATCACCCGCTTCAACGAGTGTAGAAGCAGCTATAACTTCTACTGGCCCTAAGTGTTTCCCGAACTGGAGCTCGTAGAGGCCCCAGATTGAGAAGAAGAGAACCCACCCTTAGGAGGGATCTTCTGCGATACCTTCGCGTTCTTGCATTTAAACTGTGTGTGACCATACTCACCACAGTTAATACAAGCACCACGAGACCAAAGGTCCCGCCACACTTCTTGATCCAGACCCGCTCTGACCCAAACAACTATTTTGTTTAGGTTAGCGGCCTGCCCCTGACTCCTTTGTTGACCGCACTTGCCACGACCAGTTGCCTTAGTCTTAACTACGGCGGCGAGGTTGCTACCCTCAGCACTCTCCTCGCCATCAAACTCTGAACCCTCCACAAGATCGGAAACATCATCGATCTCAGTTTGATTCCCATCAGAATCAACCATCATCAATCAACTACCCTTCTTCTTCCACTCTTGTGGAGTCTTCTTCTTTCTCCCATTCGTAGAAGGGGTTTGAGCTCCACCCAGCGTAGCCTCTAAGTCTAGGGCCTTCTTCCTGAATGACTCAAACGTGTGATACTCGCGTCGAGCCTCGCTGGCTAATAAATTCCTAATGTCTGTGGGAAGACATCTCAGGAACATGGTCAGCAAGACCTGTGGATTGTACTCCACTCTCGGGACGACAATCAGGCACTCTACGGTTGTGGTAAGTTCCCGCACACACTTGTACTTTCTAGTATCAAGTTTCAGGAGCCCATCAGTGGCAATCTGTGCCTGCTGAGGGTTGTGCTAACGAGCCTCCACTAAGTCCATAAAGCTTTCTAATGTGTGGGTCTGCGCCCAATCATGCATGTTCCTGCCGAAGCCCTTTGAAGCTACCAATCCGTTTAGCCAACGGGCTGCTGAACCCTCTAAGTAGGATGCAGCAGTAATCACCTCCTCTTCTACCAATGTCCTCTTTGCCCTTACCCACACTAGCACCGTTCTCAACCATGTGTCGAGAGCCTCATCCTTCTTATCTCCTGAGAAGGTTGCAGGTGGGTTCAGTGGGGTCTTGGGGTACCAAGGATATTGTTGTCCTTGTTGTGAGACAGGTGGCGACTGTGGTGTAGCGACAGTCGCTGGACCAGAAGATGAAGAAGCAACAATTTGAGATAGTGCTACTGTTAATGAAACACTTGGTGGTGGTCCTGACTGAGCGGCATAGAGGCCTGTCATCGCTGAGAGTGGCAGCGATGGTAAAGCTGCTGGCCGGATCCCTGGCTTATGTAGCGCTTGTAGGATCTGGTCTAGAGTATCTTGCATAGCGTCCATCTTGTTGTCTATGTACGCATGCATGGAGAGGACGCTTGCCTTCAGGATCTTTCCTGTAGTGTTTAAGGCAGTGTCATCTAATGCCTCTAGCGCAGCCATGTCTGCCTCCCTACCCTCTAGACTGACACTTCTCTCTTTGATCTCTTTCTCTCTCTTAGTAGCTTGCCTAAGTTCCTCCTCTAACCTTAAGTGGATCCTCTCTACTTGCAGGAGCTCCATCTGCTTCCGGGTGCGTGGAGGCGGCGAGCTGAACTGCGAGCCCGCCATTTGACTAGTGCCAACCCCTGACGTACTGGAGATTGATTGTGAACTGGTCGGCATGCCTAGCCCTTGACCAGTTGAGTTCGCAGCAGATGTTGCGGAAGTAGCCATTGCTACAGCTCTAGCTGCTGCTGCTTCTCTTGCAGCCTCAAGGTTACGGGCCCTAGCTTCAACCCTTAACCTTCTCTCTTCTCCCGGTTCTAGGGTCTGGAACACTCTAGGGATTCTAAGGGATGTTATCCTTGTTAACCTCCTATCGTCATCTGCACCCTCACCACCCTCTGATCCACTCATAGGTTAGGCAGACGTTGTGTGCACTAATGTCCTCACTGGAACCTACCGCAGCATGCGTCTGACCGGATCTAAAAATAAACAAATAAATAAATGTCCGGTGAGTTACCTAGCCTACTAGTCAAGCGGCATCAATAACATCTACACAAACTATACACATTGCCTAAGTCTTATCTGATTAGTCTGCACAGAAGATTTGAGAAGAACTAACTATGGTAGATTACAGTCCTTACTCTAGTCTGTCTGTTTGGTGTCAGCAGTCGGTTAACCAACTAATCAAAATAAAAACTTAGACTAATGTGAGCAGATGTATACACAATGGATATGTCAATGATGTACAGTTGAGTTCACAATTGGAATCCCCTTCCCCTGTATCCAACGTACCTGTGAGCATCATCAAGCTGCGGTGTCTAAGGTGTGCAACCACGGCCCACCCCTGTGCCCAAGAAGTATGCTTATGACCAGCCTGCCCCTTTGTTTACCCTCACGTGCAACGAGCCTTACGTCTGAATGATCTGGCTGATCAGGAGGGATTTAAGGAGAGCCCCCATCTCCTCAGGAATTATTTAACGTCGCAAACAGGACGACGATCACAGCCAGTGGACAATTCAGACCCCAACCAGAAATGTTTATAGACGGTCTGGGAGCGTCTCAATAGGACTGGTCAGTCCACACACCCCTTCTATCAGTGCAGCAAAGAGCCTCAATGGACAAAGCAGCCATCGCATGCGTGTACTAATCCCATTGGGTTGGCATGGTGACCGTAACCCATGTGCTTCGACCAGGGCCCTTCAGAGGCACCGCCCTCTCCTGCCAGATGCGCCACCGGGAAGAATGTCGTCTCTCAAGATAGAGCACACACAACTCCTCACCAAAGAGAGGACACTCAAGTTGGACTCACTTCCTCACGGTAAGAAGAGATTGAGAGGGTAGATAGGGAATGGGAACAACGTACCTGGAGATAGCTGCCCCCAACCACAGATTTCTCACCAATTGGGCTGATGTGCATTTCGATGACCGGTCAATAGCCTCGGTACCACCCACAACGCAATGCAGTGCCGCCTCAGCCAAAATGCCACGTCAGCATACTCTCATCATCACACATACACCCGCTGTCGCCACAGCTCCCACGCTGTCGCCACAGCCTTCCAGCGGCTGGCCTCTCTACCTAGGCCCCGCTAATCAACCAGCGGCATAGTATTCTCACTTCACATGAAGCATCCTCAGCGCACCAAGTTACAATGTCACCGGTGTCAGGTAAGCGGTGATCATCAACCAGCTCCGATAACAAATTGCAAGGAATATGAGTGTGAGCAATATACATAAAACCAAGTTGCGAAATCACACAGCTGAGCAAGTAGTAGTATCCCAAGTAGAGAGTACAAATGCACCGAGAAAACCATCCATAAAGAGCAATACAATGAAGTATTGAGCCAATGTCCAAGCCCGTAGGCCACACCAATACAGTATCCAGAGTCGCTCTCTCTGTCTGGCGCACAGCGCCCAGCCTACTCTACCATACTATCCTATGCTACAGCTGGTTCACACAACAGGATCACTTTGGCTCACGAAGACCAATGTACATGACTGCCCACACCATCGGCGACCTCTCTTCATGTACCAGGTACGTATCTCGTCACCCTCAATCAGACCTTGATTACCCCACACAGTGCCTCACTACCTGAAGACCACCCGATCATCCGCTGTACCCCCTGGCGCCAAGCAGCCCGGCTATGGCCGCCTGTGCCCCGCTGCCCTGCCGCACCCCACCTCACCTCTTGCGCCCCGTCAACGCCCTTGGCAGCAGCAGCATCAAGCGAGAGCGCAGCAGCACTTCCGCATTGCCAGCGCTGGCCAGAATGCCTGGCCTGGGCTGCTTCACTTCCTTTATGGAAGTGGCAGCCTGCTGCATGCTGCGTGTGGCCTGGCTGGAAGCTTCCAGTAGCTTCCGGTTGGGCCTCAGACCCTGTGCCGAGGCCAAGACTTACAGTTGAGGGCCTGGGCTCTTTACAGTTGGGCGCGGCCTGAGTCTCCAGACTTGGGCTGTTAGCTGCATCTGCGCAGGGCCCCCGGGTAGGTGCGTCGGCTGTACTGCTTTTCCAAAGGCCGACTGCCTGCCTCTCAATGTATCGGCCCTGCTTTGTGTGTAGGTGCCCAGGCACAACTTTCGAGGCCTGGGCCAACTGAACGGCGCAGCTTAGTGAGGCTCGCGCGTTCACTCAACCAACTGACGCGCTGCAAGAGCCTGAATACCCACATATGGAAATGTCGAATTTGGTCTGTGATGAATATTGAGGCCCGCCTTCACTTAGGGCGGGCACTTGGCTTGCTGTGGCCTTGGCCCAGAACAATGTGATGTCTGATAGGGCCACTTGAGGGCTTGTTCCTCACAGTCACCCAGTCACACACTGCTCTGCCACGCAGTTCCTCCTTCCCTTGGCCAGGCTCTCACACGTGCACTCCAGCAGCGCCGCCGCACGTCCAGCCAGCGAGAATGTGTGAAGTGAGGCAGCCTCACTTCCTTTTGTGTTGGCTGCAAGGCTCGTGGCCTGGCTGGACTGGCTGCGCCCTGGGCCCCTTCCAGAATCTGCTCGGGGCCTGACTGCCTGGGCCCTGGGCCTCAGCATCTGAGCTCCGAGCCTCAGCATCTTCAACCAACGACGGGTTGAGGCCTCCCTGTTCGTTGGAGATGCTGATTGCCTCAACCAACCCACGGGGCCCTATAACAGAGTTTCCTGTCACTATGGTCATAGGGTCCTATAAATTCCTATTATTTGCCTATATGCGAGGATGTGGCTCCTTGGCACGCCTTAGGGGTCCCTTATGCAAGTAAGTGAAGGCGGGTCTAACAAATCACGAGAGGCCGAATGCTGTCAAATTCGTATTTGGGGTGCAGGCAGTTGTGTCGCGTCAGTTGGTTGAGGGAACCCAGGACCCGAGCAGCAAATACTTTCCACGGCCTTCTAGGCCTTTCTGAAATGCAGGCCCTGGGCCACATTCGCAACAACATACACAGACAGTTGGGAGATGTAACTGAACGACGCCCACCAGCAGCAGCAGAGGCCCAGCTACCTGGGGCCTACTGGACGCTTCTGGGCGCAGGCCCAGCTCATCCAAGCCACAGGCCAGGCCAGACTCTTTCCATATA